GGAGCCTGATGTGGGGCTCGATCCCAGGACCCTGGGATCATGACCTGAGCCGAAGGCAGATGCTTAACGACTGAGCCACCCAGGCGCCCCTACATGGACTATTATAACTCAGCCATCAAAAACAATGAAATCTTGCCATTTGCAATGATGTGGATGAAACTAGAGGGTATTATGCTAAGGGAAATAAGTCAGTCAGAGAAAGACAAATACCATATGATTTCATTCAAATATGGAATTTAAGAAACAAAACAGATGATCATAGGGGAAGGGAGGGAAAAATAAAATAAGACAAAATCAGAGAGGGAGACAAACCATAAGAGACTCATAACTCTAGGAAACAAACTGAAAGTTGCTGGAGGGGAGGTGGGTGGGGGATGGGTTAACTGGGTGATGGACATTAAGGAGGGCACCCGATGTAATGAGCACTGGGTGTTATATGCAACTGATGAATCACTAAATTCTACCCCTGAAACTAATAATACAGTATATGGGAACTAAATTGAATTTAAATTTCAAAAAAGGGCAGCTGAATGTATAAGGATGAGTGTTGGTGATGAGGGAAGAGTGATCCTCTCTGAGAGGGAATGTGTGCATTAAATACTTTTTGGAGATGAAAAAGTGAGCCACATGCACACCTGGGAGAAATGCTTCCAGACAGAGGGAACTGCAAGTATACAAGCCCCAGTCTATTCAAGAAATAGCCCAGGCCAACATAGTTCGAGCAAAGCGAACCAGTCTGGAGAGAGTGATAGGAAATTAGGTCAGAGAGATAAAAATGAGCAAATCATTTTGGTCCTTATGGGCCATTGTAACTGTTTTGGTTTGGCTTGGTTTTTGTTGTTGCTCTAACATTTTTAATTGAAATATAACACACAGTGACTCTTTCCACATTTTGGCTATTGTGGACATTGCTGCTATAAACATTAGGATGCAGGTGCCCCTTCGAATCACTATGTTTGTAATCCTTTGGATAAATACCTACGAGTACGATTGCTGGGTCATAGGGTAGTTCTATTTTTAACTTTTTGAGGAGCCTCCATATTGTTTTCCAGAGTGGTTGCACCAGCTTGCATTCCCACCAACAGTGTAGGAGGGTTCCCCTTTCTTCGCATCCTTGCCAACATCTGTCATGTCCTGACTTGTTATTTTTAGCCATTCTGACTGGTGTGAGGTGGTATCTCATTGTGATTTTGATTTGTATATCCCTGATGGCAAATGATGTTGAGCATCTTTGCATGTGTCTGTTGGCCCATTTGGATGTCTTCTTTGGGGAAATGTCTGTTCATGTCTTCTGCCCATTTCCTGACTAGATTATTTGTTTTTGGGGTGTTGAGTTTGATAAGTTCTTTACAGATTTTGGATACTAGCCCTTTATCTGATAAGACACTTGCAAATATCTTCTCCCATTCTTTGGGTTGTCTTTTGGTTTTGTCAACTGTTTCCTTTGCTGTGCAAAAGCTTTTTATCTTGATGAAGTCCTAATATGTCGTTTTTGCTTTTGTTACCCTTGCCTTTGAAGACATGTCTAGCAAGAAATTGCTGTAGCTGAGGTTGAAGAGGTTGCTGCCTGTATTCTCCTCTAGGATTTTGATGGATTCTTGTCTCACATTTAGGTCTTTTATCCATTTTGAGTTTATTTTTGTGTATGGTGTAAGAAAATGGTCCAATTTCATTCTTCTGCAAGATGTCCATTGACAGATGAATGGATAAAGAAGATATGGTATATATACACGATGGAATATTACTCAGCCATCCACAAATGAAATCTTACCATTTGCAATGACGTAGATGGAGCTAGAGGGTTTTGTGCTAAGGGAAATAAGTCACTCAGAGAAAAACAATTATCAAATGATTTCATTCATATGTGGAATTTAAGAAACAAAACAGATGATCATAAGGGAAAGGAGGGAAAAGTAAAATAAGACAAAATCAGAGAAGGAGACAAACCATAAGACTCTTAACTCTAGGAAACAAACTGAGGGTTTCTGGAGGGGAGGTGGGTGGGGGATGGGCTAACTGGATGATGGGCGTTAAGGAGGGCACTTGATGTAATGAGCACTGGGTGTTATACGCAACTGATGAATCACTAAACTCTACCTCTGAAACTAATAATACACTATACGCTAATTAATTGAATTTAAATTTTAAAAAAGAAAGGAAATATAACACACAGCAAGAAAACTGTACAAATCCTAAGTGTGAACTCAATGAATTATCATAAAATGACTAAATCTGTGTATCCAGACACAGGTCAAGACATTAGCAGCACCCCAGAATTCCCCATTTATGCTCCCTCCTACCTGCTCTCTCCCTCCTTCTCAAAGGTGACCACTGTCGTGATTTCTAGCAGCAGATTTGTTTTGCCTATTTTTAAACTTTCAATAAATGGAATCAGTTATAAAAATAAAAGCAAAATAAATCTTTGCTCAAGATTTTGCTTGTGATATTCACCCATGTGGTTCCTAGAGGGTAGAAGGATTAAGATGACAAATAAGGGCACATTAAACTACTGATGGGAAAGATGTGGTACAGAGGGTTATTGCTTGCAGTGTGTCTGTGCCCAGCTTCCACAGTCCAGGAAGGAGAGAGCAAACATGAGCTCACCCAGGAGCTAGCTGAGTGTCAGGATCTCAAGAGATATTTTCTCCCTGCTCAGATCCTCTCCTGAGAAGTAAGAGATCTGGAGAGGGTTGGGATCATGGCTGCAATTACTTCTTCACTGATTCACTCAAACATTTCCAGATCCTACTTCATGTCGGGCACAATGCTGAGATAAAAAGATAATTAAGCCATGGTCAGTTAGACAAATGAGTTAATAGGACTACAAAATGGTATGGTAAGTGCTAAGTATTTGCAAAGGATGCTAAGGAAGCATCTTTTTTAAGAATCATTGTGACAATTTCACCTTTTTTGCTCAAACATTAATGGCTCTGAGATAGGCTCATGAGAATATGGCCATTATCCGTCCCTTTGAAATTATATTTATACTTTTTTAAAAAAGGCTTATTTATTTATTTTAGATATATAGAGAGAGTGTGTGTGAGCAGGGGGAGGAGCAGAGGCAGAGGCAGAGGGAGAAAATCCTCAAGCAGACTGCCTGCTGAGCACAGAGCCTGATGTGGGGTTCGATCCCATGACCCTGAGATCATGACCTGAGCCAAAATCAACAGTCAGACACTTAACCAACTGAACCACCCAGGTGCTCTTTATATTTATTACCTTTATATTTATCAGTGTTATCTCCTCAAATAGACTATAATCTTTTTGAGAATAGAAAAGATATCTTCTGCTATCATAAAAAGAGCACAAAGTAGCTGAAGTCAGAAGAGCTGGGTTTGATTCCTGACTCGTATTCTTTAGCTGGACAACCCTGGGAAAATGAATTAAACTTCTATGCCTCAGTTCCTTTATCTATAAATGGAGATAGTAATATTCATCCTAGCTGCCTCCTAGAATTGTAACAGCATCAAAGGAAATAATGGATAAGAAGAGCTGTAAATTCTTATTATCAGTTCTCTAAACCACACAGAACTACTATGTTGGGTGTAGTAGGTAATCAGTAAGTGTTGAGCTTTCACTAAAGTTCATCAGCAAAGACTTGGTGGTTTTGGGATCCTATGCCAGGGAGTGGATGCAGTTCCCTGTTCCCCTCTACCTTATGCCCAGAGAACTCAGAAGCTGGAGTCAGATATTATGGCCATGACCCAGGAGTGACCGGCCAGTGTGGGAGGGTGGACTGGCCCAGAACCATCTGGGCCAATGACCCATTACCCAAGAACACCAAACATTTTGTTTGGTGTGGAACCTCTGTGATTGTCCATTTCAACACTTCTCCTAACCCCTGTCTCTCTTCCTCCTATCTCTGGGCTTCAGTATCAGAAGGCTCTAATAGACGGGCAGAATTAGGGGAAAGGGTGTGGGAAGCAGGGAGTGGGCAGAGGGGGATGGTTATAGCCGTTTCCCTTCTGTGCTTACAGGGAACACAGCTTCACAAGACAGCTCAAACCCACTGACGGTGAATGGGGTTCTGGGGGAGTCGGTAACTCTTTCCCTGAAGCTTCCTGTACATCAGGATATTCAGTCCATCACCTGGCTTCACAATGGAAAATCTATCAACTTCATATTGCCAAAAGCTGCTCCAGATTTGCGGATCTCGGTGACTGATCCAAAACGGAAAGATCGACTGCAACTGATGGAGAACTACTCCTTACAACTCAGCAACCTGGCAACGGCAGACGCAGGACTTTACTGTGCCCAGATAACAACACAAACCTCTACAGAGTTTTCCTATTACACTCTGCAGATCTTCAGTGAGTCAAAGCATGGGGTTTAATTGTGTATGGACTGAAAGGTGTTACAGATGTCAAATCCTATGTGACAGCAAGTGTAGCCTAGTGGTTAAGAACATGGCATTTGCAGTCAGACTGAGGTCTGGCAGAAAAGCAAGTCAATGGCTTGGGCGGTTAGTGGCAGAGTGGAGAATAGAATGTAAGTCTTGTGACTCCTGGCCTCAAGTCACATCACTCTCACTCACACACTAAAATATTCCCTCTCGACCTGAAATGTACTGGAAGGAACAGAAGTGAAGTCGCTATGACTCTGTTTCCTTGTGCATTACCTGTATCTGTAGTACATTCTTCACAACAACTCCATGAGGCAGGTACCACCCTTACCCCCAAGGCCTCGAGTCAGTCCCAGCAACCTGCCTACAGCCATGGAGACAGTAAGTGGGAGAGTGACATGTACCTGACATGAGACCTCCCTTTACACAAAGGCCAGTCTGACCCCATGGAGTGATCAGTGTACAGGACAGAACTCTACCTAGAAAGTGCTCTGTAAGGATGAGCTGATAATAAGAAAGATCTTTTCTATCAAGGTTATTTAACTTCTTTTTTATAAAGATTTTATTTATTTGTCAGAGAGAGAGAGAGCACAAGCATGAGTGAGAGGCAAAGGGAGAGGGAGAAACAGGCTCCCCACTGAGCAAGGAGTCTGATGTGGGACTCAATCCCAGGACCCTGGGATCATGACCTGAGCTGAAGGCAGATGCTTAACCAACTGAGCCACTCAAGGTTATTTAATTTCTTTTTTTTAACATCTTTTTTTTTAAAGATTTTATTTATTTATTCATGAGAGACAGAGAGAGAGAGGTAGAGGGAGAAGCAGTCTCCCAAGAAGCAGGGAGCCCGATGCGGGACTCGACCCCAGGACCCTGGGATCATGACCTGAGCCGAAGGCAGACGCTTAACCATCTGAGCCACCCAGGCGCCCAAGGTTATTTAATTTCTAACAATACTTTTCCCAGATGGCTCATGTCCTCAACATAAAATTATGGAAACCATGAGACAGCTTATGAGTCAGTATTAGAAAAAAAAATCCTTCTAGCAATCAGTGATGTTCAGAGATGCCATGAAAGGCTTTAAGATAATTCTTTCATGGGAATGTTGTACAGGAGATTCAAGCTAAATTGGCAACGTTAAAGGCCACCAAGATTCTATAATTCTTATCTACTCCAGAATCCATGGTATCTAAAATTAACCCAGAGTCCTTTGAGTTAAGACTTGGAATCCAAAATAAAATGTCACCACAAATAGGTTACAGTGAACCTTTAGAATCCCCTGAATATTTGGTGGATTTACCATGTTAGATTAGTCAAAGTCATGTCCCTAAAAGAATAGGACACAAAACAGGTAAATATGAAGGGAAAGAAAGATTGTCTAGAAAAGTTTGCAACAGGAATTCCAACCAAAGGGGCAAAATCGCCCTGGGGCAGTTCATTAGTGTCTTGAGGCCTCCAAAACAAAACACCACAAATTTGGTGGCTTAAAACAACAGAAATTTTATTCTCTCACAATTCCAGAGGCCAAATGTCCAAAAGCAAGGTGTGGGCAGGGCTGCATTCCCTCTGGAGGCCCTAGAGGGCAATCTGTTTTTTGCCTCTTCCAGCTTCTGGGTGCTGTTGGCATTCCTTGCTGTTTGTTGGTCTATGACAGCATCACGCCAGTCTCTGCCTTCTTCTTTCCCTGTGTGATCTCCTCTTCTTCTTTTTTTCTTTTTTCTTTTTTTTTTTTAAAGATTTTATTTGTTTATTTGAGAGAGAGAGAATGAGAGAGAGAGAGCACGAGAGGGAAGAGGGTCAGAGGGAGAAGCAGACTCCCTGCTGAGCAGGAAGCCCGATGCGGGACTCGATCCCAGGACTCCAGGATCATGACCTGAGCCGAAGGCAGTCGCTTAACCAACTGAGCCACCCAGGCACCCGTGTGATCTCCTCTTCTGTCTCAAAGATCTGCTTTCCTCTTATAAGGACCCTTGTCATTGGATTTAGGGCCCACCCAGATAATCCAGAATCATCTCCTCATCTCACTTAATTACATGGGCAAAGACCCTTTTCCAAATAAGATTCTGGGAATTAGGACATGGGGATATCTTTTGGCCGTGGGGTGGGGGGTGTCATCATTCAACCCACTACAGGCAGGATCACTCAGTGTGACCAGGATCATCAAGGCAGAGCTAGGACGCTGGAGAGAAGAGAGACATCCAGTCAAAAGTCTGAGAATAGACCCCATATCAGGCTCCATCATACTTGTTGAGACAATGTTCTTCTGCCATTCTTCAGAAGACCAAGCATGACTTCTTCTGCAATAATCATACTCCCCAGGTTCAATGCCAATCCCTTCTCAGGGCCTTTTGGCATCAAGAGTGCCAGGGAACAGGGGTGAGTTCTAAATGGGGTGGTCATAATAAGCTTCATTGAGTAAATAACATTTGAGCCAAGACCTCTTGGAGGTGAGGGAGTGAGCCATGCAGATATTTGAAAGAAGAGCCATCCAGCATAGGCATTCCCTGTGCCCAGCACGCTCAAAGAGCACCAAGGAGGTCCAACACCAAGGAGCAGAGTGAGGGGAGAGTAATAGGAAACGAGGTTAGTAAAGAAATAGGGGCCACGTCTGGTAAGGCTCTGAGAGCCATCACAGGGACTTTGGCTTCTACTCTGTGAGACTGAGAACCATCAGAGGGTTTTGTAGAGCAGTAATATGATCTGACTTACTTGCTTAATATATCCCTTTGCTCTGTTAAGAATAAGCTCTAGGGGACAGCAGTAGAAGCCAATTACCAATTAGGCCACTGTGACAATCCAAGCAAGAGACGCTGCTGCTTTGCCCCAGGGTGGCAGCAGTAGAGGTAAGGAGAAGGGGTTGGACCCTGAATATATTTTGGTGGTAAAGTCACCAGGATATCCTGATATGGTATAAGATGAAGAGGTAAGTCAGCTCCAGGGCTTTTGCCCTGAGTGTCTGGAAAGGCGATTATCAACGAGGGTGCTGAAGGCTATGGACTGAGCAGGTTTGAAAGAGAAAAACAGGAATCCTTTTGAACATGTTGAGTTTGAGATACACATTATATCCAAGTGGAAATGTCACGTAGGCAGTTTTATACTCATTAAGTGGAAAAAGGTAACAAGATAGATTTTTGAGGTCAGCCATGGACACAGGTTGACGGAATGTGGCATTCATGCCAAATATTTGCCATTGCTGCGCTAGGCACTGTCTCAGTTAATCCTCATAATTCCCTAAGAAGTTGGTATTATTGCCCAGGTTTACACATAAGGAAACTGAGGCTTGGAGAGATTAAAAACGTATCTGTGGTCATGTAACCAGTAAGTGACAAAGCCATGAGTCTAACCCAGGTCTTCCTAACTCCAAATCCAACACTCGCCATTACACGAAATCTCCATTCTGTCAACATATGTCCCACCTCCTAGTCCATTAACGAAGCTTAGAGCATTCCTCAATCTCTTTCCACCAGACAGTGGGAGTCATTCTGTTCTCCATTGGGTCACTGTTACCCTCAGGTCAAGTCCAGGTCAGTGGCCTTTTCTGTACAACTCCCATGTCCCCATTGATTCACAGCTACTGGCATCTTAATAGCCAGTATTTTCCGGTCTCTGCTCTCAGAAATTTCTACAGCAGATGTTCTCTTACATGCCTGAATGTATTGTACTTCTTTGCTTGCTTGTTCAGTTTCACTCTTTTCCCTGGTTTTTCGGTTCTCAACATTTCCCTTTCTGACTTGCTGGCGTTCCATATCAGAGTCTCTTTGTCATCATGGGAACCAGCATCTGATACAACGAGGCCCAGGATTCCTGCAGATTTGTGAGAAATACAGTTCCACAAGGATGTTAAGCTTTTATCTTCTATTCCAGCTGGGGGATTCTGATGGTTGAGAAAACAAGGTTTTTGAGTCTGGTCTACTGGTTTCTGCCCTGGCTAAGGTAGAGTTGACCCTCAGCTGAATTCCCAAACGTCTTTACACGAGGCCAGTGTACAGGGCTAGAAAGGACACCAGGAACAAACTGGGGTCCAGAAAGTAAAGCGAGCAGCCCAGAATCATCTAACTAGGTGGTGGCTACCCTGGTGTGTCCCTACCACTTCTCCCTCTGGCTACTCTGTCTTATGCTGATGCCCTTCATCATTTGGTCATCCCAGACCTCGGTGCCATCAGTTAGGCAATAGGAGCCGACTTAGTTACAGACGACACATACCATAACACACAGTAGAGTGTTGGGTGGAATACAGAAACATTCTGTGGCGGGAATGATATTTTTTCACAGAGTGCTGAACCAAGGCGTTTGTTCTTAGTTCAGGTCTTTTCTCTGCATGCAGGACGACTGAGGAACTTACAAATTGCCAATCACACGTGGCTGTCTGAGATTGGGACCTGTGAGATCCACCTGACCTGCTCTGTAGAGAATTCAAATGACACCTTCTTAAGGTGGCAGGTTGTAGGAAACACGTCTATAAATGAAGCAAACCTCACTATTTCCTGGGACCCCAGGAATTCCAGTGAACAGAAGTTCACCTGCGTAGCTGAGAATACTGTCAGCAATATATCCTTCTCTGTCTCCACCCAGAGTCTCTGCGAAGGTAACAGTCTGTCTCAGGTCCCTCTGAGAGCCTTGAGCAGCTGTGGGGTGTGGTGTGTCCCTCCTGCCCAAAGTGATTCCCCAGAACAGTGGCCCAGTGGGAGGCAGCCAAACCCTTCTAGGAGAGGACAGACGCTCCTGCAGCTCTGTGCCTCTCACGACCTCCAGAGGCCTCTCCTCCCTCCTTCCCTCCCTCCGTCTCTCACTCCCTCCCTCCCCCAACCCTTCCTCCAGCCCACTCAGAGCCCAGGAGCAAAGTCCTTGGGGAGTCAGAACTGCTCCCCATTCTGGCTCTACCATGCTCCTGTCCTGTCTGCCACATGGACTCCCACTCTCAGAAAATCTACCCAGAGCCAGGGTCCAGCCAGCCCCCAAAGGTGGCCTAGAAGAGGCTCAGTGGAGGCTCTGAGGAAAACACTCCCTGCTTCAAGTGCAACTTCTTTTTTCTTTTTTCAGGTGTTTTGAATATGAAAAATCACCCTGATACCAAATGGATTATAATTGTGGTTGTGGTTATTTTGATATGTATAGTCATCACTGTGGGGTTACTTGTTTGGAGGAAAAAAGATTGTTTGTGGAGGACAGGTAAAGGGAGGGAGGATGGTCCACTGGGACAACCCCTGGGATGTGACCACACACCTGCTAATTTCCCAAGGAGGGTGGGTCCTACTGGAAAATGCATGACCAAGCCTCAAGGCCTGACTGCCCTTCCCCTTCAGCACTGCCCCCATATCCTCTAGAAGGACACCTGTGGGTGTGGGGTAGGGTGTGGGAGCCTCTCTCACTACACTCACAAATTTCAATTTCCCCGATTTTATTTTTCAGGCATCTTTCATTTCTCTACTCCACAAACCCAGAGTCCTGGTGAGCTTGCAGACTCTTAGCTCCCAATCATAAAACAGATGGGGAGAACCTAATGGAGGGGGAAAAGGGCTGGTCAGAGGGCTGGATAATGAGAGAGGAGGGAGTCAGAATGTCATTACTCAGATGGACCAGATGGTGCAAAAGGAGATGACCTGTAACTATGCATGTCTGTCCCCTCTGGGACCTAACGGGTCCCTTACAAGCATGCAAACCAGTCACTCACCCAGTTTCTTGGAGTGGGATTAGGGTCCTTTCCCACCCTGCTGATGAGAAACTAGGTGCCAGCAAAAGGTTCATGGCCTGTCCATTATCAACCAGCAACTCCAGGGTTAGAGCATCAAAGGTCCAAAGACAAACTGCCTGACCCCATCACTCTTTCAGCCAAGATTTGAACATTGAGTAGACCCAGTCCAAAAAGAAAGTATGATCTAGAGACAGGAACACAGGCTCTGGCTTCAGATTGGCTGTGAGTCTCATTTCATGGGTGAGAAATAAACGACATCGTGTGTAGAAGATGAACCTGAGGTTCAGAGTCAGAAGGCAAGCATCCAAGTTCCTGTTCCATCACTTCCTGTTTGACTTTGTGCCAAGTTAACTGAAATTTCTGAGCCTCCAGTTTCTCATCTATAATATAATATAATTAAGATAATATAATATAATAATCTAGAGTATAATCATCCATAGTATAATCATTTATAATATAATCTGAGAAGTTTAATAGTATCATATATGTGACATAATTTGGCTCCATTATGCTTGCCAACAAGGTTCTCTAGCCCTTGTGCAGGCAGTGCTATTTGGTCTCGGGAGCTCCCTGGCCCAATGTAAATCCAGAGGGAGACTCTGAAGCTTTAGGATACCTCTAGACCACGGGATCCCCCCAGTGATGAGGTCAGAAATAGAGCACATGGCTGAGAAGGTTCTCATTCAACCCAGAACTTCAAAGACTGTCAAAAATGAATGAACTGTAGGGAATGGCATTGCCTTGAACAACTGCCTCTTTGGAGCCAAAAAGTGCCCTGGTGTAGGCCAAGGTCCCAGGAGAGCAGGACACTGACTGTGCCTTCCTGTGTTAACAGCAGAGACCATAAGGAACTTAGATTATGTCTCCATCTCTCCAGGGAACACCGTGTATGCTTGTGTCACTCATCCAAACAGGGTGAGTCCTTTCAGCTTTATACTCCATCATTGGCATGATTTTTATAGTCTTTATTCACAAACTTGTCACCACAATCATCTGACTAATCCAATGACACACACCTTTGAGGAGAGGAGAGGCAGTGGCAGGAGCTAGGATGTTGTATGTGGGGCATAACTAGCCCCAGGGCTCAAGCCCCGTGGTGTGTTTGCGCATACCCTGCTTTACATGGTCCTCTAACTGCATGATGCATCAGTAAGTCTTGTCCCTTTCCAGCTTAATTACAAGCTACCTGAAGTGAAAATTACGTCTTCTTCCCTCTTCCCTGAGCACAATGCGCAGTAAATACTTGCTGAATGGAACAGACTCTCATGTAAGTCTGAGAGTTTCCAGAGCAGACAATTCTGTAGCAGGGGATTTCTCACCCTGGATGTAGTGGAAATAGGGGAACTCAGAAGCAGTCTCTCAAGAGGGGAAGTGGGGCAAGGATTTGCAACAGTAGAAGACAGTAAAGGCATGAACAGGCTTCAACCCTCCCCTCCCCCCTGCAACAGATGGCCTTGGTCAGCCACCAGGAACTCCTCTGCCACACATCAGCAATTTCCCACCACCCCCAAAGTAAAGCACCTGCAGGTGAACATTTCTAAATAATACCATACATCTTCTGAAAAGTAAGCCAAGATAACTCAGCATTTACCAACTCATGGAAGCAATGATCCAGCTAGAAATCTTAGATTCCCCAAGTGAATGTCCCTTCACACAGCCCCTCACAGTTACTTACAAGTAGGCTCCATGAAGAGAGGTAACAGGAAAGGGTATTCTTACTTGTTCAAATGTTTCTATTGCCTTTCCAGTTCCCTCTTGAAGACAAGATGAATCACCCTCAACAAACAAATAAATTAATCTCCAGCAAATTTGCTAACTTCTTCTTTAGCAAAAATTATACTTTGGAGAGTTCCAGAGGTATTGATAAATACCCTAAATATTCCTTAATTAGTTTTAAATGTCAAAACTTATGAGCACAGGGGACTTCTGCTGTTATTGCTGTACTTTGTATTCCAAGTAGAACCATTCTTGAGACTGGGTGTTCCTCCTACTTAGCAGTTCCCCAGGCGTGAGGAGAATCCAACGGCATGAGAACGAGGCAATTCGAGTCAAGGGACAAACTTGAAGCAGGCAATAGGTCCAGTCGTAGCTAGTAAAGATCTAAGACAAAAGATCCAGTACTTCTGTACACTTCTAGTATAGAAATCAGTTCTTAAAATGGAGGAAGGAGAGTAGAGTCGGATGCAGGAAACAATGCTTCCTTTTCTTCACACCACCTGCCAACAAGGTTGCCCCTCTGTCCCTTTCTGGGTCTTGAGCCACTGGTTTGCGGGGTTGTTGTGCTTCTGTGTGGGCCTCAGGAAATGTCACTAAACTTCTCAGGTTGGAGAGCTCGTGGTGTTTGGTCTCCAGCTCCTCTTGCTACACAGTCTTTTACTCTAGCCTTTTCCTCCTGAAGAACTTTGACATCATCTTTCTATATGGCATTGTCTTCCCCCAGAATATATCTACGCATGAATATCTCTTCGTCTGTGTGAGCCAAATGTATATGATATTTTTTTTTACAGCAAACAAATATCCCAACACCTGTGAAAAGCAGTGATTTCTCCACCATTTATTCCGCAGTTCATCAGTACAAAGAGGTAAGCCCATGACCGTCCCCTGTTCTCACATCTTACCTCTCTCCCCAGACTTGTAACCTTACAAATAAAGTACAAGTAAAGGAGCCATTCTATAGATGCACAAATACGAGCAGTATATAGAAAGGCTCAGGACATCACCAAGACATATCCAAGAAGTTATCTTGTATTTTAGGATCACCACCCATAACTAAGTTTTCAACGTACTTGAATTTAATGAGATTTTTTAAATTCAATTTTTAATTTAACTTTGCCTTGGCTATCAATATCCTTATCTGCCAGTTAGTGCTCTCCAGACCTTCTCTATAGCCATGAGAGGCAGCCTGAGGCTCTGGTCCCTACTAACCTACTTCATTTTCCTCTTTTTTTGCATTAGAGTAAACCTATTTCTTCCAGGACAACTGCCCTTGACAACGTCATCTAAATTGCTGAGAGGTCTCAAAAGGAACTCAGAAATGACACAGCTTCTCCTGATCTCATGGGAGAGAACACAGCTTATTTTCTGCCTGGCAACAGAATTCGAATATTTAGGATTATCACTTCCAGTTCTTTGGACTAGAACCTGCTCAAGTACGTCAGACATCTAAGGAACAACATCATTTCCAGCGTGTGATCCAAATAACATTTTCTAATCTGCTCCAGGCCAAAACATACTTCCATGAACAAGCCTGGACATTGACTTTCTCTTTGGCAGCTGATGAAGTTGTGCTTGACAGAGAGTTATAATTCAGAAGACAGCCACTCCTCTCCTTTTAGAAAGGAGCAGGATTGTGATTCACTGGGAGAGAGTACAGTGTATTTATTATGTATGTTGTCTCTGGAATTGGCTGGGCCTTGTCCCAAATCCTCACACATCACTTCCTAGACATACCTCCTGGGACACGTTCTGGAACCTCTTGAGGTCTGGTCTCCTAGACTGAAAAATGGGGATCAGCCTGTTACTCAAACGAGGAACCAGAGTTAGCCTTGACTTCAGCTGTTCCATCACCAGGCCCTTTGGACTCTACCTCCAAATACGTATCTTAGACTGACCCACTTCTCTCCAAAACTTTAACCTCCACCTTATATTAACCCATCATCATGTCCAACCTGGAATATGACAGTAAGCTCCAAACAGATTTCCCCAATTTTTGTTCTTATCTCCCTCCAATCCAGTCTCTACAAGACAGCCAGAGTAATATTTTTAATATAAGCCAGATCCTTCATTTGTCTGCTTAAAACTGACCCTGCAAGACATCCCAGGCACTCCAGAAAGAAACTGAGTCTCTGTGGTTCTGGATGGCCTGGCCCATCTGCAGCCTGAGCCACCACGTCTCCCTCCCACCCCCTCTCTGATTTAGCTTCTCTGATTCTCTTTCAGCCCCTCCATCAGAGGAGAGAGTTTACTCACATCTGCCTCAAGACCCTTCTCTGCTTGCCTGGTTCCTCCCTACTCTACAGGTCCCAGTGCATATATGTCATTCTCCAAGAAAGACCTTCAGACCACTGTAACTGAAGTGGATCCCCCTGTTATTCTGTCACACCTTCCATGTCATTTACATTGTGCCATTAAATATTTATTTGTATTTAATGTCTGTTTCTCCTATTCTACTGTACACTCTCCAAGAACAGGGACCACGACGATTTTATCTCTGTATCCGGAGCATCTAGCACATAGAAAATGCTCAACAAATACTTTTTAATAAATAAATGAATATGTAGTGGAGTTTTGTGAGAATTAAAGACAATGTGCCTGCAGCCCTTTGCGTGGGGCGTAACACATGAGAGAGCTCGATAAGTGTGAGCATCGCCGTGGCGCTGTTGCTGTTATGAAATGTTGCTGTTATGAAATTGCATTCCTCCTGAACCGACAGAATCTTCTCACAAACCCTCAGCACAAGAAAGGAGGAAGGATGCATCCTCTGTCACCTGGTTCCACATCACTTCCTACCTTTTATCTCTGCTCAGATTTTAAAATTTCATTCTTTTATCCCCAAGGAAGAATTCTCTGATTTTTTTGTGTGAGTTTGAGATCTTTAAACAAATTGTTTTTCAACACTTTATTGGGGTATGATCTACATACAAAAAACTGTCTGTACTTAATCCACACAACTTAATGAGTTTGGAGATAAGTATACATTTGTGAAACCATGACCACAATCAGTACTATAAACATATCTGGCACCACAAGAAGTTTCCTCTAACCCCTCTTTTTTTT